AGTTCCTCCAGAGGATGGGCCAGCTCTTTGAGTGCGTTCTCTTCACTGCCAGCCTGGCCAAGGTGCGTCCTGCCCCAGCCCTGAGCTCCCAGCCCCTCCACCCCCACCCCTGTCTATCAGACAGCCCTTTGGTAAGGTGGGGGAAGCTGTTTCTATGGTGACACATTCCCACCCCAGATGGGATGGATGCAGGCCCTGTGCGTGCACAGTGCCAGCCTGAAAGGCTTCTGGGTTACCATGGTGACAGGGAGCACTCAGAACAAACGCTCCGTGAAGGGGCTGCGCGCGGCCGCCTGCAGCTGGTTGTCCACAGAGCAGGAAATCACAAAGGTGTCCAGCGTCACCAAGAAGGGTGTCTGCATCTCACCTGTTCTCTGGCAACCATGTGCTAGGCAGTGGTTCTCAACCTTCTGGCCCTTTAAATACAGTTCCTCATGGTGTGACCCAACCATAAAATTATTTTCGTTGCTACTTCATAACTGTAATGTTGCTACTGTTATGAGTCGTCATGTAAATATCTGATATGCAGGAAGGTCTTAGGCGACCCCTGTGAAAGGGTCGTTCGACCGCCAAAGGGGTCGGGACCCACAGGTTGAGAACCGCTGTGCTGGAGGCTCAGGCCTCTGTGCCCTCGGGTAGTTGCACGGGTCTGGGGGAGAGGTCAGTGCCAGCCACTGACCCGCATGCCTGGGCCCAGTGAGGGTTCTGACTGCGCTAATGAGGACTGTGATCTCAGGCAAGTTACTTCGCTTCTCGACTCAGTTCCTATTCATCGGGGATCATTTCATCTGCCTCGTGGGGTGGACCAAAGTAAGGCAGGTAAAGGGCTGGATTCATGTTCAGCAAGGACTCAGGGACACCTGCTGTGTTCCGTACGCTCCGCTGGGCACTGTCACGCGGCACGTGCTCCCGGTGTCATTGTTCGATATCATACGTGTAATGATGATCAAGTGGTTCACATGTTTTGACTCTGTAGCTTGGTATGAGTCTCTGACCTGGCGTCTACATTGGCTCTGAGCCAACAGAGTGCTTTCTTTGCCCTCTCCCACCGTTCACGGGAATTATCAGGTTCACGGGACCCGGACATGGTTTAGTCTACCCTTTAGCACAGGGGTCCTCAAACTTTTTAAACAGGGGGCCAGTTCACGGTCCCTCAGACCATTGGAGGGCCGGACTATAGTTTAAAAAAAAAAACTATGAACAAATTCCTATGCACACTGCACATATCTTATTTTGAAGTAAAAAAACAAAACGGGAACAAATACAATATTTGTATTTGCATGTGGCCCGCGGGCCGTAGTTTGAGGACCCCTGCTTTAGCAGGTGCGCTGAGGCTCCTGTGCTTGTGGGACAGACAAGCAGGCCCCTGCTCCCCAGAGAAGATCCTCGTGTGGCCATTGACTCTGACGGGGCCAACACCATTCTTTTTTTCAATTATGTATGTATACACATTTGTGTGTGTGTGTGTGTGTGTGTGTGTGTGTGTGTTATTGATTTCAGAGAGAGGAAGGGAAAGAGGGAGAGAGATAGAAACATCAATGATGAGAGAGAATCCTGGATCAGCTGCCTCCTGCACGCTCCCTGCTGGGGGTCAAGCCAGCAACCCGGCATGTGCCCTGACTGGGAATCGAACTGTGACCTCTTGGTTCATAGATTGACGCTCAACCACGGAGCCACACTGGCTGGGCAACACCATCCATTTCTTAGTGGCACCACCAGTGTCTCCATGGGCACCTCAGAGACCCTGAGTGGCCCCAAAGATGAGCTTTGTGGAGCCCAAGTTAGCCATGAGCCTGTCTCAGATCTGCTCCGAGGACTCACCTGCAGCTGCCGCCCCAGGTCCGGTACCCGGATGGCTCCCTTCTCTGCAGGCTGGGATCTCGGCCTCCAAGTTCCCAAATGGGCTGCTTTGCCTGCCTGGGCGGTCCTGGTTTGGGCCATCTCTCTGTCATGGCCAAGGTGAGAGAGACCCTCACCTGCACACCATTCCTGCAGGCTCATTGCCAGGCCTTAACGCATGAGCCGGCAGAACCAGAATCCAAGATCTGGGCCTTACTCTTGTGCACTGAACCGAGAACGTGGCCTCGGAGAAGACGTCATCTTCCCAGTGTGTACGCTTCCGATGAATGATACCGAGTCTGACTGTGCTACAGGCGCTCCTGCCAGTGCTCTGGGTGCTGAGGGGCCCCAAGTGATAAGCAAAGAAACAGTGAACAGGAAGATTGCACCGGTGCCGGTGGACTGAGGGCTGCTTTTTCTTTGGCAAAATTGAAAGTGCTCCCCCTTGGCGTTGTCCCCAGCGCCCGCTTCCACATCCTTGTTCCGTCTCTTCCTGGACGGCTCCCACCTGTCCCTCCATCTGTCTCTCCACCTTCTCCCGCTGCTACTCCAGCCCGGCTGGGCCTTCCAGCCCCTTTCCTCCCTGATGCCCAAGCTGTGCTGACAGGTGGGCGCTCCCCAGTGCTTGGCTCTGGACTCAGCTCCCAGCCAGCACCATTGGTGCAGTGACCTCCTGCCCACTGCCCGGGGCCAACAGGAACCCTGAGCTGACTGGCAGGGCCCTTCCGTGTCTGCATCCTCATCTTCGTTTCCTCTACTCACTCAGTCCCCTTCCACTCACTCAGTCCCCTTCCACTCACTCAGTCCCCCAACAAATATTTACATAGTACCTACTGTGTGCCCAGCACGATAGTAGGCCCTGGACGACAGCAGAGAGCTAGAGATGCAGGCCCAGGCCTAGAAAGCTCACCTCCCCCAGCCCATCTCCAAGGCCTGAGGCCCTAGGCCTGGACACGCCCTTGGAAGATGCATGCCGTGACCAGCGTCAGTGATTGTGAGGACGTCCATCATCCTTTCCACGTAGAGTGAGCTCCCTAGGACCCGCCCACGTGGTGCCTGGCTGCCTCCCAGCAGAAAGCTGCAGCGCCCTGAGCACTCGCCCCAGTGGTCAGCAGGAAGTGCAGCCTGCTCCTGGGCTCAGCCTCCCTCACAAGGTCCCTGGAGAGAGAGGCTGGTCATGGCCTCGGAGCTGCTGCCTGTGGCCCTGCAGCCCTGCTGGCGGCTGCTCTGCACTCGGGCTGCGTGCCTTCCCTGCTGGCCTTCCCAGCACCGCCAGCCTTGGTTACTCTCTGCCTCCGGGGCCGTCGCTGGGCCCCTGGTGACACCTGGCCGTGCCCCACACTGGTGTCTGGTGCCGAGGCCTGGCCTCACATTGGGGTTGGAACTGCCATCTTGCCTCCAGCTCCAGCCCCTCCGTCTGGCCCAGTCTTTCAGATATCTCCATTTACGAAGATTTTCCCTCAGGGACGACCCCTTTATTTCTTTTCTTTGTTTTGTTTTGTTTTTAATTTTTTTTAACTTTTTATTGATTAAGGTATTACAAATGTGTCTTTGTCCCCCCATTGTCCCCTCATCCCCCCAGTCTTGCCCGCACCCTCACCCCCTTGGTGTCTGCGTCCATCGTTTATGCTTATATGCATGCATATAAGTCCTTTGCTTGATCTCTCCCCCTCACCCCCACCCTCCCCTACCTTCCCTCTGAGGTTTGAGCATCTGATCCATGCTTCTCTGTCTCTGAATCTGTTTTTGTTCATCAGTTTATGTTGTTCATTATAGTCCACAAATGAGTGAGATCATGTGATATTTATCTTTCTCTGACTGACTTATTTCACTTAGCATAATGCTCTCCAGCTCCATCCATGCTGTTGCAAATGGTAGGATTTCCTCCCTTTTTACTGCGGCATAGTATTCCATTGCATAGATGTGCCAAAGTTTTTTAATCCACTCATCTGCTGATGGGCACTTAGGCTGATTCCAAATCTTAGCTATGGTAAATTGTGCTGCTATGAACATAGGGGTGCATATATCCTTTCTGATTGGTGTTTCTGGATTCTTGGGATATATTCCTAGAAGTGGGATCACAGGGTCAAATGGAAGTTCCATTTTTAGTTTTTTGAGGAAACTCCATACTGTTCTCCACAGCCTGCTGGGGAAAACTGCCCAGGCCGTGAGAGAGGACCAGGCAGGGTGATCCCCAGCTGCAGGCGGGGCTCAGACTCCCTCCCATCAACTCCCGGTGAATGGAAGTGGGTGTCTGGGCCCCATCCTGAGACAGTCAGGGGCTGGGCAGACCAGTTGCCCAGAGCACCTCTAGGGGGCAGTGTGGCTTCATGCCACACAAGCCCAATTAAAAGTCAGCTCCAAAATACATACATACATACATACATACATAAATGTCAGCTCATCTGTTGTTCATGGCTGAAACTAGTACTTACCGAGCCCTCACCATGGGATCGGCACTCTGCAAAGTGCAAGGTGAGCACAACAGGAAAGAGAAAATAAAGCAATCCTACGTGTGATGAGCTCTGTGAGGAATGGAGCAGTATCCGCAAGGAAGATGCAGGAGGACCCTCGGCGGGTGGTGAGGGACGCCAAGGCCTGAGAAACGAGGGTGCAGGAGAGGCTCACGCAGAGAGCTGGGGAGTGACAGTTCCAGGCAGGGGGAGCCCTGGTTCTCACTATGTTCAAAGCCACTGTGGCTCACGTGATGTGAGGTGGGGCGGAGAGGTCACAGGAGTCACGCAGCTGCAGGCTTGACGGGCGGCGGTGAGGAGCGCAGGCCTTATGGCAAGTGAGTCGCTGGGAGGGTGGCCAAGGGGAAGAGGAGGCCACCCCAGGCTGGATTCGAGGACGGGGCGAGGGCCGGGACCCTGCGGTGGGTGGACAAGAACTCCTGATGGATTGGGTAAGAGAAGTGAGAGAAACGGGAGAACCCAGGGTGTCTCACACACACGGAGGAAATAACCAGGAAATAACCAGGATCCTGGTGTAAATCCCTCTTGAGAAAAGTAAGGCTGCGGTAGGTCAGGGTTTCTGGGTTCCCGGCGCCAGCCTTCATGGCAACACCTGCCTTCCAGTATGCAGACCCCGTGGCTGACCTGCTGGACCGCTGGGGTGTGTTCCGGGCCCGGCTCTTCAGAGAATCCTGTGTTTTCCATCGAGGGAACTACGTGAAAGACCTGAGTCGCCTGGGACGGGAGCTGAGCAAAGTGATCATCGTGGACAATTCTCCGGCCTCGTACATCTTCCACCCTGAGAACGCAGTAAGTAGCTCCCGGGAGGAAGAGCACAGGGCTCCATCTCAGCTCTGTCTTGTCTTCTTTTCTTTTTTTTCTTTTGATGTATTTAATTGATCGAGCCCGCAACCTGGCCATGTGCCCTGACCTCCTGATTGAGAGGTCGATGCTTAACCACAACTGGCACGGCTGTACCTTCCGGCACCTATGCAAGCTCTCTTGGCCTTTTCCTTGGTGAAATCCCAACTCTGCCCCTGAGCCCCTGCATGACACTGACCCGGTTGTTTAACCTCCATGGGGATTATGGGAATGCTGATCTCATAGGATTATTGGAGGATTCATTGTGTCATTGTGGCAGTACATGCAACATGGTGCTTGCGATGGGTAAGTGCTCAGTGAGCCTGTATGTTAGCATCTTTGGGACAGTTACTGAGAAGGGCTCTATCTGTCACGAACCTTCTGGAGCTGGCTGCTGCCCAGGACTTAGGGCCCCTGTAGACTCAGAAGGCCTGGGTGGCATCTTCAACAGAAGCAGTTCTTAAACAAGAGTGAATAAAACACCTGAATAAGGTCTCCCCAGGCTGCCACGCTTACTGCCTCGAAATGATGTGCAAAACGTGTACAATGGGAACATTTCCTACAGAAAACGCCCTGGAGCGTGGCAGCTCTCCTGTGGACTCACTGGGTGCAGCACGACTCTCAGAATAAGACCCCTCCCGCCCTGCGTGTCCAGGGAAGAGAGGTCAGCCCGGCCTCTCAGACTCAGCAGAACTTGGCTGCTCCACTTATAAACCAGATTCAGTTAGGGTGTAATCATCCTTTTAATCAACCTTCAAAACTTATTATATTTAACATGTTCATTGTAATGAGTTAATCAAATTCAACATAATTCATTTTGTGTCTCTAGCAGATAAGGATCACTTTTTAATGTGATCACGGTTCAGTTAGCACATCTGACAAAACGAACAGTTACTCCCACCTAATGTCCAGACTACGTCCATTTATCGCGAAATGCTTTCTTAGGTTTGGTTTGAACCAGAATCCAAACAAGACATTTGCTTCATAGGTCTCTTAATTCTTGCATAACCTCAACAACACGTCTTCCCTCACCCTTTAATGTCTTCATGCCTTTTGTTTGTTGAGGAAATTCTGGTTACTGGTCTCGTAGAAATTTCCTACATTCTGGATTTGCCCGATTGCAGCCTCATGGTGGTGTTTGATATGTTTTCACAGCCAGTATCTTTTCTTTCTTAATATATTTTTAATGATTTCAGAGAGGAAGGGAGAGGGAAAGAGAGAGATAGAAACATCAATGATGAGAGAGAATCGTTGATCAGCTGCCTCCTGCACACCCCACACTGGGGATGGAGCTGCAAGCAACCCAGGCATGTACCCTGACCAGGAATCAAACTGTGACCTCTTGGTTCATAGGTCAACGCTCAACCACTGAGCCACGCCAGCCAGGCAGTATATTTCCTTTGACACAAAGTTAGATCAGTACTTCTTAATTAAACTCAGGTTCTTTCCCCCCCCCCACCGCCCCCCCGCCAAGAATATGTCATAGGCGGTATTGTGTGCCCTTGTGGTATCATCTCAGGAGACATAGAATCTCAGGTTGTCCCACTTTTAAAGATTTTAAATTGATCTTTGGGTCCAGTTGTCCATTTTAAAATTCCCCACCAACCTTTTGTCCTAAAAGTATAAGCAGCCGTTGCTCATTGCCTACACCCACTACTTCATTAGGAATGGCAAAATGGTGATTTCTACCCTTTATCATTCTCTCTGCATTTGTTGGCTAGGATTCTAATTTTTTTTTAATTACACTTGCCCCTATTGACTGCTTCAGTACCCTCAAGTTCAGTTTGAATGTTTGAATAGGGAAGGCAGGCTAAAATCTCAGTTCTTTGTCTTTAAGTCTACCATTTCAGAATAACGAGTTGGAGCTCTAGCAACTTCCAAAAGTAGTCAATGATATTTTGTTGTTGTTGGTACCATCATGAACTCGTGGATTTTTTTTATAGTTACAGTTTAATCCATTTATCACTCTTTTGTATGCTTACATATTCAGCTTTGGCCGGTAGACACCTCTTCAAGTAACAATAGTCTTTGATAGCTTCCTACTTTCTGGTACAACAGGATGTTCCGGACTCATCTTATCCATTTCTGGCTTCAGCCTTGAAATCAGCCACTTTTCTCTGGAGCCTGGTTCCTGTTAGTGGAGAGGGTATTTGGAGACCATAATGTGTATGGGGGGGGGGGTTCTCATTGTTACTGGAATGTCCTTTGCTTCTAGCCCTTTCTACTGGACAGAGCTAAAATATACATATTTTTGAAGTGCAAACTAAATCATAAATTCACCTGGGTTTTTCCCAGTGTTTTTACTTCATTTCTTTTTCTTTTTTTTTTGTATTTGTCTCCTCTTAAACTAAAACTCTTGATTTCTAAAGATACTAACATCATTAATATTGTATTTATTTTATAGTCTATCCCTAATAATTTCAAAAGAGCAGTACTAATGTCATTGCTAATAATAAGACAATTGGATACATCTAGGGTTTGGGGGAGAAATGTACAGACAACACTGTCTTTTGAAATTACTGGAAATAATTCTCTGTGTGATTATGTCACCAACATTATACACACTTAGCTCTGAGGTACAAGGAGTCGGCTGGATGGAAAGAGTAGCAAGTAGCAAGGCTAGTTCTCACATATTCTGCGCTCCGGCCACCCTTTCTGCGGCAGGAAAACAGAACAGGCCACAGTGTGCGAGCTGGGTCCCCGTGACCCGCCTTCCCGAGCCAGTGCCCCCAACCGGGTTGCTTTGGGTTGGTCTCGGTTGGGGCGGGGGGGACAAACAAAACGATGATGGTGGTGGTGAAGGCGAGATACCTGGCCTCCTTACCGAAGAGCATGTTCGTAAGAAAACGGGCACCCGGTCAGGCTGGGAGCCGCCAGCCCCGGTGCAGGCCTGCTGCCCCCCGCGCCCTGTCTTCCAGGTGCCTGTGCAGTCCTGGTTCGATGACATGACGGACACGGAGCTGCTGGACCTCATCCCGTTCTTCGAGGGCCTGAGCCGGGAGGACGACGTGTACAGCATGCTGCACAGGCTCTGCAATAGGTAGCCCCGGCCGCCGCCGCCTCCCCTGCGCACTCGGACCCCAGCCCTGGGGACCCGCCCGGCCTCCGCGCCCCGGGAGCCGAAGTGAGGACACGCCGTGCTCCGGGCCACGGGGTGAACGTGGCCGTACCTACCTGTTTTATTTTTAAAGAACAGAAACAACTATTTTAAAATGAACTCTTTTAACGAATTTCCTAAAGGGACATGCATTTTACTGGATTTGCTTTTCTTAAAACATACCAAAAAGGGAAAAAAAGGAGGAAAAAAGAAGAAAAAAAAAAAAGCTTGATATCTATCAGACTTCCTTTCAACTGTCTTCCCTTCCCCGCAGACAACCTGCCTCCTCCTACCCCAGCTCGGAGCAGCTGACCAACTCAGAATCTCCCTCCTCGAGGATGAAGTGCCTTTTTGAATGTTATTTTAAGCTGAGAGTTAATTTTTCTATACAGCATATTTCCAGACATCTTTTAGTCTTTTATTATCTCAGATTCTCTAACAAGATAAAGAGGACAATTTTCTAGAACCTGGTGGGGAGCGGGTGACGAGGTGTGGGAGTGAGTCCGGGAAGCTGCCTCCCAGCAGGTGGCAGGGCCAGGCTCCTGGTGGGAGTTTGTGTGCCGTGTCAGCGTCTCCGTTCATGGCCGCCCCCCGTTTGGGATGGGTCTGCAATCGTATGGCCCCACACTGTGGGGAGCAGTGGATTCTTTTATATGATGATGATGTTGGATGGTGACAGATGGGTCTTGGGGGGTCACATTTTTCCCTTGAAAAGGGGGCACCGTGCCACTCCTGCTTTCACACGACTGCCATACTTCCGTGTGCTTTGTGTTTGGTGTTTGTGTTGTTGTTTGGGGTAGAGCAGTTCCCCCCAAAAATCTCAAACCCTTGCATCTAAGAAAGAAAGAAATCTGTTGATTGATTTTTAAATCTTTCCTTTCCAAAAGCTGGATACACATGGAGCTGTTGGGGAATGCTCTTTGCTGCTACCGCGCTGCCACCAAACGGAATTGACCAGCGGCTGTTGCACTGTTCTTTGCCACTGTGCCTATGCTCAGACTCCGCTCACTGCTACGCTGCACACTCCACAGGGTCAGGAGCAGGTGTCCCGCCCCGCGGCAGGCTGCACCCCCTGCACCCCTCCCCCGGCACCGGCCATGGGAACTCAGAAGGGTACAGAGGGGGCCAGCACGCCACCCCAGGGCGGTGCTCATTCATTTATAACTGCAGTCGGCATCCGACCCTGTGATAGGCTGCCTGTTCTCTCTTGAGAACCCGTGGCCTCAGCCACCCAGCACGCTGATGTGGCCCAAGGCCATCTCTTGGTCTTCTCTCCTGAAGCACAGCCTATCTCTGAGCCGGGGGTTGGGGAAGCCTGTCTAGATGTGGGGCTCACTGTCCTGAGTCGGGGAGAGGGGGGCTCCCTTCGCAGCCTTTCCCAGTGAGATGTTTCAAGCAGCGCCATGTTCCTTGTTCGACAAGTCTATAAAGCATGGCTCTGACACATCATTTACAAAGAACCCTCGCGCGTCGGCACCGGTGCCTTAGTCCTCTCTGTGGGTTGGGCCTCCGCCAGGGTTCTGGTGGGGGCGACGACCGGCACCAACAAGACTGGAAATGGGGTGTCAGAGTAAAATTTCTTTTTTGCTGCCATTCACAAAACAAGGAAGCCAGCTGCCAATCGCGTCCTCCCGACGGCACTTTGGCCTGTGGCCTGCCCGGCTTTCAGAAGTAAGTATTCGGGGGTAACCAGGTCTCCCAACATCCCCGAGTATTCCGAACCCAGGAATCCACATGCCAGTTAAAAGAGAAACAACTCCTTGCTAGGCGTGACCACACCTTGATTTGGAAAACTCGTCGTTGAATGAACCCGCTGCCTTAAATGTCTTAAATGTTTCAGTCCAGCATCTGT